ATATACTGTATAGATATGTATACCGTATAAAGTTGCAGCTTTATATATGCTACATTTATTTGTGAGCAGTCAGTGAAGTCACTGAAATAATGATCTGTATTTCTTAAGTATATGCTCTGCCTCATTGGTATCCATAAACTTGGCCAACCATATCCTATTCACACAGTATTTACTCCATGGAGACGCACAACAGGTACAGAGTACATATGTAAAAATTCAATAAATTATGTGAGTTGATAAGCAGTGTATGTTCCAGGGTTTAAAAATACTCCAGCCCAGGTTTGGTGTCTTCTCTTTCCGGCCATTGGGCACCACTGATGATGTAAGTTCTGTGCATGAACACTGGAGTTACATTATCTTACCACCCGGCTCCATTTTCTGCATACATCGCAGTCAGTTTACACATAACAAATATTTGCTAGCACACTTGTACCAAAAAAGCCCTCTACTTGCTGACAATTTTTTGTTTGCCAACTTTAGTTCCATTTAAGGCGGATTCTTAACACATATTACTTAGTTCACCCTATATGCATTTAAGAGACTAAGGGCTAGTTCACACCTAAGGTTTGCGCTAAACACAGGATACTATGCTTTTAACACACATTATTGTGCAGAATACATGTACTAGATGTGTTGCATTGCCATTCATTTGAATGGAACCCTACCATACCTCCCGGCGGCCATGCGTCGCAGCTTAGTGCACAGTACCGCAATACCACGTGCTGGAGTGCATACAGTGCATGCACTACTCTTTCCCACAAATTGCAGTACCACTTTCTGCACTGCAAGGCACAGCAGTCCGGAGGTGGATTCCAATGACTGGCAATGCAATGCACCTGGTGCACGGTACGATACGCTGTATGTGACAGCATAAGCTAAATGCATGGTATCATGCTTCAAGTGCAACACTTAGGTGTGAACTGGCCCTAAACAATATGGGGTCTATTCACAAAGCTACCGAAGGATCTAGCCATAGCTTCGGCTGATCCTACGGGTAGGTTCGGCCCCAGGACCCCTTCGCTTCAGGGCTGCTGCACGGGCTACTCACTATAGCCCGTACAGCCCCCGAAGTTGGCCGAGGGGCTCAGTGGAGCCGAAGGCATATGCTTCGGCTCGACGGAGCTGAGGGGAAATTCAAAGCTGGCTGTACGGCCGGCCATTGGCCGTCCAAAGCCTGATTCTGACAGCTGGGCGGAGCCAGCCATCATCACACGGCTGGCTCCGGCCACTTGCAGATAGATAAGCGTCCCTGGTTACCATGTAACCAGAGATGCCATTCTGTCATTACACTGAGAACCCGTCGGTGCTGCTGTAAAATCACAGCAGCTCTGCCAGGTTCTGCGTGTAACCGGTCTGGTTCTGGTAACCGGGGACGCCTTCTGTCATTACAATGCGACTCACAGCAGCTCCGACGGGTTCTCAGTGTGTAATGACACATGGGCATCCCTGGTTACCAGGTAACCAGGACACCCATGTGTCATTACGACGAGAGCTTAGGAGAGCCGGCAGTGATATAAAAGCCGACTCTGCTAAGCTCTCATCCTAATGGCAGAACAGCATCTGCTGGTTACTGGGTAACCAGCAGACGCTGTTCTGCCATTAGGATGAGAGCTTAGCAGAGTCGGCTTTCCTATCTCCGCCGTCTCCGACAAGTTCTAATTCTAATAACAGCTGGTCTCGGCCAATAGAAAACAGTTGGGCTGAGCTAGCTGTCACTGCTAGCTCTGCCCAATCGTTTTCTATTTTTATTTTTTCAACTTTTTAAAGTGTTTTTCTATTCTGCTCGGTACAACAGAGGTACCAAGCAGAACAGCCGAGTCGAATGCCGCATTCGGCTAGTCACTCAGTGCTGTTCGGCATCTATGAGAATAGGCTGAACAGCAGCGAGTAGCCTGCTGGAGGTTCGGGTCAGCCGAATCGAACTCCTTCTGCACTACAGGTCGGCCAAACATGCAGAGCATGTTTGGACGACCCGAAGCCACCCGATGTACGGCTGAAATCAGCCGTACAAGCCTGAAGTGAATAGCCAAACAGTGTTTGGCTCACTTCACTTCGGGTCGCTTGTTCACTCGGCCACCTACGGCAGCTTTGTGAATAGACCCCTATGTATTTAATGTTTAGTGCACACTGCAAGCAGGGACCACAATGTGTGCATTTACCATATATGTACTCTTCAGCATCCATGCACGCATTAGAATATATCTAATAAGTGATGAAAAGATGCCATATGAATCTCAAGTGAAATATCTGAGTGATTACAAAATGTGATAGTTAGACTCCTCTGTATCTCACATTAACTCTAAGGCAAGTTTCTGACTGTGCAGAGATCTATTTGCAGAGCAATAATGTTTCTGCTAGAGATTCTGGGAGATTTCTTAATTAGCCAAGACTGGGCTTGATACATTGGAAAATGATAAAAGTAGCTTATGTGTTGCTATGTAAACAAAGGGGTAATTAAAAATGCATTAGTACATTAGCTATGATGCTTTATACATTCATAAAACAAGATAAAAGATGAAGCTGAAGCCTGCATGCTCTGGTGAGTATGGAATAATGCTACATTTGTG